TAAAAATAAACGGCGGAAGATCAGTGCGTGCTCATTCAAGGATTTCGACTCAGTTAATATAATTACAAAACAAGCCACAAATAATTCAAAATGTTTCAAACCGTTCACTTGTAAAAAGGATCAAGTCAGCCATCCATTTTGTCCGAGAACTGTGATAGATTGGAACCAGCTTGACGAAAGTGTTGTGTGTGTAGAGACAGGACAGTGGCTACTTTTCGAGTAGCCGTGCACCAGTGGGACTAGCTCAAACTCTCTCTTCCGTAGCATTTATGCCGGTAGGTCCTGCTACGTAATTATCCAGATCCAGAATTACTGATAGGGCTAATAGATATATCCTAACAGTGTTTGACTACGCAACCCGATATCCAGAGGCGATCGCTATCAGTTTACGTCCGAGGTAATGAAGGAAGTTAGTCGACTTTTGTCCTTAAAGCGAATCACGACCACGCCATACCATCCAATGTGCAACAGACTCGTGGAAAAGTTTAATGGAACACTTAAACAAATGCTCAAAAGGATGTGCGCAGAAAGGCCCAAGGACTGGGATAAATATCTAAATCCATTACTTTTCGCATATCGTGAGGTACCACGGGAGAGTCTCGGATTTTCTCCATTTGATCTTTTGTATGCACATTCTGTTCAAGGGATACAATGATGATTCTTAAGGAGTTATTAACCAAAGAGATTCCAGATGAAGAGGTCAAACTACCTATCAATATGTCCTTCATCTGAGAGAAAGACTTGACGAAATATGCAAGATCGCCCTTGAACATCTAAAAAATGCTAGGAAACGTCAGCTCAAATATTACAACAAGAAATCAAGCAATCGTCAAATGAAAGAAGGAGATAAAGTGTTAGTCCTCCTACCAACGAAGTATAACAAACTTCTCATGCAGTGGAAAGGACCTTATAGTGTCATACGGAAGATAGGACCTATGGCCTACAAGGTTGACATAGGAAGCAAGACAAAAACGTATCACGCTAATTTGTTTAAAAAATATGTCAAGAGAGCTGAGTTGAAAGTTTAACAGTCTCTCATAGACTTCAGTGATAAAGACAGCAATGAAGCACAGGATTCAATTTTGCTGCCATCAGGTGTTCAGACTGCATTAGTGAAAGACATTCATTTTGCAGAAGGCCTTACGCCAGAACAGCAAGAGACTAAGTCATTATGTGAACAATTTAATGAAGTTTTTACGGTTTTTACCTGGTACCACAAACTTGGTGAAGCATAAGATAGAATTGACGTCGACGGAGCAAGTGAGAGTAAAACAATCCTATCCCATTCAGCACAAAGAATGTCATTAGAGAAGTAGAAAAGATGCTACAGTTAGAGGTCATTGAACATTCTTCTTCCCTGTACTCAGCACCAGTTGTAATTGCAAGGAAAAAAGACGGGATAAATCGATTTTGCATTGACTTCAGAAAACTTAACAGCATCACAGTCTTCGACTTTGGCGGGTTTAACACACAAAGCACTCTGAAAATTTACGCCGACCTTACGTGATTCTGGAATCTTCAGAAAGGAAGATGCGGAGGCAGTGCCCCCTCACAAATATGCAGCAGGGGGGATAACCAATATGTACTTTGATGCACTAAGACATTGAACAAAGGGAGATAACTAAGTATTGCACTGTCTTCGCATTCATGTGCGAATTAGATACAAGTATTATCTTAGAACAGTGCAATGAAGAAAAAGAGAAAATAGGAATACACAATTTTTTAATACGGCGTTTATGGGCACGGCTGTATGTACAAACAAAATGGATGGGCCGCCAACATGTCAAAGGACTGGCCCCACAAACAACAAAAGCAAAATCAAAAGCATATTCAACATCAAATGTTCACATTTTCAGTAGACAACTTATTTTGCAAAACACCGGCCAAGTTACAAACACATATTTCCATTGAATGTTCACATTTTCAGTAGACAACTTATTTTGCAAAACATCGGCCAATTTACAAACACATATTTCCACATTCACAGTTCAAAATGATAAAGAGTGCTTGACCCTGGGAGTTGCAGAGGTCAAGCAACTCATGACCTTGACCCTGGGAGGTGCAGAGGTCAAGGACTTGTAGATTTTCACATTTCATCATAAAATCTGACAGTGCTGCTCATAATCACCACAAGTTTCCTACCATAAGTGCAAGCATTGGCAATGATGGTAGGAAACTCCGCCACCAAAAGTGGGGGTAGAGCGGCGCTAGGGTATTATTAAGCCGCGCCCGTAATGACTACTCAGGAAAGTATGCAATGTTGCGACCCATTATAGCTTCCAGACCCTCTTGTAATGTGTATAATAAAATTGAATTACCTAATTAGGATAGATGGACCCCATCACTGTTTAACATTTTGGGTTGTGCTGTAATATCAGGGTATGAAATGACAGCTCCCCCCTTCAGACTTAACTAAAGTGCTTGCAAAGGAATTAAGGCGTCGACGAGCATTCACCATTTTTTTTCACTATTATGGGAATACCGCCATTTTATTCGTGGTAAAGTACAAGACCAAATTAACCTAACTCCAGGAATATTTATTTTTATAAAGTTTTCAACTTTATGGTTTGTATCCTTAACTTTCTTATAGAAGTACGGCCTAAATCGTTTCCGCCACAATGTAGAAGGATGGCAATCGGTTGTGAACTAAATCTATTCAAGTATTTTAATTTGTTAATAACTTGCATGAGTGTTAGACCACAGTAGCCCTGCCACCATAATGATATATTTACCCTATCAAGATTCAAACTGCAACCACCAGGTCTAAGTATAGCTTCTGTTTGTGCCCACTTTATGATTGAGGAGCCCACTAACCAAATGATTTGGGTATCTACAATATAAATGATCTATGAAAAATTAAAACTTTGGTATACGAATATATGATTTGTAAGAGTTAGATCTTCATCTACCACACTTGATTGACATCAGATGAAAACCCCTTAAGGGCGAGCTCTGTACTCGCTCCAATTCGAAAGGAATGTTTTTTGTACTTGCTTTGTAAGTTCAGGTGTTTCATTGTTTTTGACAAAAAAGCAGTAAATAGGTATCTAGTCAATGGAGATGAAGTTGCAGAAAAGTGGACCTGAACCATTGGGACGGAGACTAAGAAAACATCCATGTGACGAAATGGGCATGTCATGTCCCCCAACCTAGAAATGTTGAGTACTGTCCCCTTGCCCATCTACCAATCTTGGAATATGTAATGGTTATGTTTAATGAGCCCTCTGCTCTGTCTAATTTAACATCATCCCTTTGAATAAACCCTTGCTGGTAAACTTGGATGGATGACCAACTCGCCTACTCTAAACAGCCCGTGAAAAGCTAATCAAAATGCTGCTGAAAACAAAGCTGACTCATAAGCATTTCTACAAATATAAGACAACACCTGGAATATTTTTGTTAAAATGTTTTTGTTATTGGTAGCCTGCTATCTACAGTATGCTTTACACGTTCATGCCTTGCAAGAGTTTGACAACCAAAAACTCAGAGGTGCGGTCATGAAGACCTTGCAATTTGCATTGATATGATAATGCCGCGATGTATGAACGTGTAGTGGAATAGGCCAAACGTTTAATAGATAAATGCAAAATAAATTGAACTATAAAAGCTAGGTTTGGTGGCCAGTTTTGATCGAGCTGGATTTTATTACAAAATGTGTGATATGACTGGAGACCTGCATTGCGGGCCCTGTGTGTAGTCTGTGAAACTGAAGCATCTTGTTAAATTCAAACTGGAGATGGGGGTTATGAAGAAAGAGGGCACTGGCAGTGGAACTGGATCTGCCTCTGCCCGTTGAAGTCTGTCCCACTGTTGGCGAGAAATGGCATCAGCAATGATATTTAGTTTATTTAGTTTTGTTGGAATATACACTGCACGGAATAAGACGTTATATTGTATGCATTTAAAAACAACTGGACATAACCAACTTTAACTTTGAGGATGCAGAAAAGGACACATTTTCATACGCCGCTATTCCGCCAAAAGTATAGTCCCTGCTAGATATCAAACTCAGCCTACCATTTGTATTCAAAGTTGTACAATTAAGAGAAGGAAAGAAAAATATAATCTTTTACATCTAATATACGACATATGGGTAAATACACTGAATATTTCATTTATTCAGAAACCAGACAGAATACCCCCTTAATTCTTCAAAAATCTTCTCTGCTCCAGGGTATTTAGTAAACAAACGTAGTGCATAGTTATAATGAGCGAGGAAGCTTCTTCCGAAAATGTAAATTTCATGGCCCCTTGGTCAGGAATTCTACTGTTAGGGCGGGGCTTTATTGATTTATATATATATATATATATATATATATATATATATATATATATATATATATATCAGGCTTGGGGTAATGCTAAATGTAATGGTAATGCATTGCAATGCATTACTTGAACTCGAAGTAATGCTAGTAATGTGTAATGCCAAAAAAATTGCATTACAAGTAATGGTAATGTAATGCATTACTTTCTAAAATCTGGTGTAATGCATGCATTACATAGCATTACATTGCATTGCTATTCTTATTTGTACATTCCCATTTTCTTAAATTCTGTTGAACTGAAATAGTTTTCAGTTTAATGATTACTGGAATCATTTTTGAGATTAAAATATTTTTAGTCATATTAAATTGATGAAAACAAATTAATCACTTTATCAGCTTATTGAAATAATAAATACAAAAAAAAAATATTTATATATAACTTATCACAATTAACACATTTTATTTTTCTTGATTAATAAAAGAACAAACACTCAAAAAGAGTTTGAAATCATTAAAAAAAATGATTCTAATTAGCATGATTAGATGTACACTAGTTATGGTTCACTATGAATAAAGTGTCAAGAAAACACACAATGCCCCCAGGATAATGTAAGTATCAAAATACTGTATTGTTTTGAAAAGTGCTCAACACCCCAATCTCTGTCTCTTGCCTGTGTTCATAACCATTCATGGAACTGGTCTAGAAGTGAAATAACTGGAGCTGTATAAACCATGTTTAATCCATTAGACCATTTTGTTATTCCAAAAGGAATAGAGGACAGACAAATGACTTTAAAAGCAAAATGTGTGCACTGTCCAACCATGATCTCTGGTAGTCTGAAAATCACTTCAAATTTTATAACCCATTTGAAGGTATTTAGTCATCTCTCTCTCTCTGTCTCTCTCTCTCTCTCACACATATTTGGATTATATTTTAGTACACAAAATAATTTGGAAATCAAAAAAATAAATAAATAAATAAATACAAAATTGATTTTTTTTTTCTTAGAGGAAACACAGAGATGTGCTCTTATCATCAACAAAAACTATAAATAAAGAGGAGCAAACTACAATTAGAACATATGTTTCCCGTCCAACTATGAAGTATAGTGTGGCTGACCCAAAGCAAAAACAAGGGCTGGATTCTTTAATAATGTTTGTGGCTAGAGATCTATTACCATTGTCCATTGTAGAAAGCAAGCATTTCCTAAATTCATAAATGACCTTGACCCAAAATTTCAAGTACCTAGTTGGAAACACTTGTCAACAAAACTACTACAAGAAAAGGCCAAAGAAATCCAAAGATTGCTAATAGAGCAGTTAAATAATGCAGAACATATATGCCTTACTGTTGACTTGTGGTCAAACAGATCAATGAAGGAATTTCTTGGAATCACAGCCAACTTCATTCTTGAATGGGAGTTAAAATCAGTAATGATTGCGTGCAGGAGATTTAAGGGCAGACACACAGAAGAAAATATTCTACATGAATATGAGGAAGTTATTTCTAACTTTGACATCAATGAAAAAATATTTTGTATAATCAGTGATAATGCCACAAACATGGTTAAGGCATTTAATTTTGATGTCCCTGGATTCAGTTCATCAGTGGTGAAAGACCTTGAAGAGGAACTCTTCTCAGATAATGATGCTGAAGGCACTGAAGATGAAGAAGATGAACACCCCTTTCCAACCCATAAAAGATGTTATGCATAAAAGATGTTATGCATTGTTTACAGCTGGTAATTAAAGATGCATTTGATAAATCTGATAACAGCCTGAAAAAGATTATTGTCAAAGTGTCCAAAATTTGTGTCGCATGTCCGTAAATCTATTCATGCTTCTGAATTATTATTAGAAGAGAAAAGAGTCCAAACATCAAATGCTACGAGATGGAACAGTCAACTTCACATGAATCAATCAGTTTTGGATATTCCTGAGGAAAAGTTGGAAAAATTGGATTGTCCGGTGACTTCCTTTTACGACAGGAAGGTTCTGCTAGAGTTGAACAAAAATTCTCAAACCTTTTGAAGATGCAACATTATTGCTGCAGAAAGAAAAATGTGTTAGTGGCAGCATGACTATTTCTATAACATTTGGCTTTAAGAAGCACCTTGATGCCATAAGCTGTGACTACTCCTCCAAATTTCTTTCAGTTCTGAAGTCTTCCTTAGAATCTCGACTTTCTCATTTTGAGTCTGATGTTACTTATCAACTTGCTTCTGTGTTGGATCCTCGTTTCAAACTTCTGTGGGCAGCTCCAGAAAATGTTGAGAACCTTACTACAATGCTTCAAAAGAATGCCTCTTCTTGTGACTCGACACCGTCATCTGATGGTGAAAATTCAGATACTTCTCCTCCAAAGAAGAAGCAAAAACCTGACGACTTCTTCCACTTTCTGCCAAAATCTACCCCAAGCGTAAGCGGCACCTCTCTGAGAGTACACAACTTGTTCAGCGTTATCTTGAGGAGCCTACTCTCGAATCAAATGCTGATCCACTTCTGTTCTGGAAAACAAATGAACACTTATATCCTTCTTTAGCAAAGATGGCCAAAAAGTATCTCTCTGTCCCAGCTTCCTCTGCTCCTGTTGAACGCTTGTTCAGTATCGCTGGAAAGATCTTCAAACCTGACAGGATGAAGTTAAGGGATGAAACCTTTGAAACTCTGATGATTTTAAAATGTAACAGCAATCTTTTATAAATATCAACCTGATACTGAACATGAACATGTAGATGTGTTGTATAGTGCTTCATATATATAAAACACTTGCAAAAATTCTGTATTTGTTTTTATGTTATTACTTATTACTGACTTTTTAATTTATTTTTAAAAACTGCAAAAAAGTAATGGTAATGCATTACTTTATTAAAGTAATGGTAATGTAATGCATTACTTTAAGAAACTGGAGTAATGGTAATGGTAATTTAATGCCAAAATTCTTGAAGTGGTAATGTAATGCATCACTTTACAATGTCATTCGCCCGAAGCCTGATATATATATATATATATATATATATATATATATATATATATATATATATATATATATATATATATATATTAGGGATGTCAAATTGGTCAATTTTTGATAATCGGTTACTCGGACGTTTTTCCGATCGAGTACCCGGGTACTCGGTAAAAATGTAAATACAAGTTTGTTAATTTTTAATTGTTAATTTGTAAAACCCAAAAGCTGTTTTAATCACGTTTTATGAATGTATATACATATATATGTAAACATGGAGTCCAACGGAAATTTATTTATTAAATAAACACAAATGACGCAATTAATACTTCAAAAATTACAAATGGTTTACAGTTCTTGTGTAGGATCTATTTCATCAATGCAAAAGGAGGAGAATCTGTTACGCAGGTTTGTGATGATTAGACTGGAACGGAAGATGTTTGGATCGCTATTTTACACTATGGAAACTTTTTGAATCTACTTATTTAGAAGTGGGTAGCGGCATTTCTATGCACGTCCGATTTCGCTGCCGTATATTAACTAAATAATGTAAAAATGATTTGAAGATAGAGGACCATATTAAACGATGTTCACTGAAAAACAATTATTGAAGCTGTCAAAAAAATTAAGGACCACAATAGGTGAGAACAGCTGTGTACCAGGTGATTGGTCACTAATTACTGTATATACACAGGCATAGGCGATAACGGGTGTTTACATGTGTAGATAACGACAAGCTAATTACCCTTATGCATATTAAAGTTATTTTTGATAAGATTTTGATAAAAATAATTATGTACTTTGAAGTAAGAAAAAATACACATCCGAGTACCATTTTTAGTATTCGATACTCGGACGTTCGATCGAGTACCCGGTTAACCGGGTACTCGTTGACATCTCTGATATATATATATAGAGAGAGAGAAAGCACAAAGAAATTCACTTTTACAAGGATACCCACTTCCGCCCCAGCCCGGGGTTGAACTCTCGACCAACGGAACCTGTCTCCTAGCAGTACAGGAACAGCGCGCTAGACCGCTCGGCTATCCAGGCAGTAAAAACTTGCTTTCGATGCCGATGGAATTCTCGCGGCGCTACCCTATACTACACGGTCATTGAGAATGGAAGTGAGATACATGTACAGTTATTTGGACATTAGTTTTATTAGAGGATCGTTACCAATACACGTTGTAATGAAATTAATTTTTTATTTAGAAAGCACATTTTACAACAACTCTTAAACTAACACGACTGCCCAAAGTGAAGAAATATTAATATAGAAAGCACAAAGAAATTCACTTTTATAAGGATACCCACTTCCGCCCCAGCCCGGGCTTGAACTCTCTACCGACGGAACCTGTCTCCTAGCAGTACAGGAATAGCGCGCTAAAAAATTGCTTTCGATGCCGATGGAATTTTCGCGGCGCTGCCATACATTAGACGGTCATAAAAGTGAATTTCTTTGTCCTTATATATTAATATTTCTTCAATTAGGGCAGTTATGTTAGTTTAAGAGTTGTTGTAAAATGTCCTTATATATATATATATATATATATATATATATATATATATATATATATATATATATATATATATATATATATATATTAAAAATAACAACAAACAATCAATCTTCTCTGCTCTTGTATTTAGCTACGGTAAGTGCATTATGATGAGCATTGGTGCCTCTTCCAAAATCGTGAATTTCATGGCCCCGGGGTCAGTGTTTCTGATGTGGCTCTTTTAATTATATGGCGAAAATACATATATTCTTTGTAAATCCACTCTGCTCCTGGATATTTATTAGAGTGCATGGTTTTGATGAGCAAAGGTGTCTCTTCCAGAATTATGCATGTTAAGGCCCGTGGGCCGGGATTTCTGGAGTTAGAGCAGGGCTGTATTGATCATATACTATAGTGAACATGCATTTTTTTGTTTTGAAAATCTTCTTTGCTCCTGGGTATATAGCAAACAAACGTAGCGCATAGTCATGATAAACAAGGATGCCTCTTCAAAATTGTGAATTTCATGGCACTGAGTTAGGGGTTCTGGTGTTACGATGGGTCTTATTAATAATATAGTGAAAATGCATTAATTCTTTGAAAATTTTCTCTGCTCCTGGGCATTAAGCAGATAAATTAAGTACATAGTATGATAAGCAACGATTCATCTTCCAAAATTTTAAAATTTATGGCTCCAGGGGTCAGGGGAAAAGTAAACCACTTGTTCAAGTTTTCTTGTGCTGGGCAGGATTCTACGAATTTATATTCTTCCGAGAGAATTTATTCCCCTTTATGATTCACCTATGACAATTAATCACTGCAAATAATGTATTTGAAAGCTCAATTCAATCAGTGATTTATAAAAGATTTTTTATACAACTTCTTGGTACTTAATGGTCAGGTAGATTTGTTAATTATAGGTAAAATAAAATGATATAAAATACCTTATCTTTGTACAACAAACAAATGTTTTTCATAGACTATGAGAGGGAATGAGATAGTTTTTACCATTGGTGCTCAATTACAGAATATTTGTCCCTCGGTTTCAGGAAAGCCCTGGATTGTTATGTCACCCTCTGCCTTCGGCATTGGGTGACATCACACTCCAAGGCTTTCCTGTCACCGAGGTGCAAATATTCTGGTATGTCAGCCTCGAAGCCATGTGATATATGTATAACATCGTATATTTGAAACTATTTTCCTAAAATTTCTACGCCTAATACATGTGGTGCAGGGACTAATTTGGAGACGATATGCAAAGCCACCCTGGTAGAGATTTAAACAGGCGTACATCCTTAAGGGTAAAGTTCATTCGGTCGTTCATTAGTGTTTCGAGTACAAGTAAGTCCACAACTCGTACACATGTTCCGTACATCCTGTGCCACTACGTAGGCCACAAGTGTGACATTTGAACATTACAACTTGATCCTCTTTTATATTTTTTGATCTTTTCTTTACGTTTTAGAATGAGTACTTCTTTACGTTTTGGAATGAGTACAGTTCCTTTTGCACATTCTTTATTTAGTAAATAGACTAAATGGGAACATTTCAAAAACATGTCACAGTGTCTGACTCTCAGTTTTAGCTATTTGCATTCCAAATAGATGGTAGAGAAAAAGCCTTTGTAATTATTGCTCGGATCCATTCTTTGGATCATGATGTTACAATAGCTATATTGTGAATTGATTCACAGATGATAACTTGCTTTTCTTTTTCTTTTTTTTTTTTGGTACATAGTCATTTTTCTCTGCTTATTTCAATAAACACCGACACATTTTTATGTCAATGATCATTGGCATTGCTTTGTATTTTGATTGATTTTTCAATGACCTGGACATGACTATCACTTTTTCCTAAGCTGCAGGCTGCAATGGTTCACTGTCACATAAATCTGTAAATATCTTGTAAATCTGATTTTCGATTGTCCTTCATTACATCAAATAACCAGGAGAGATATCGTTAGTGTTTAGTTTGCCATTCCAATGACTGCTGGACAGCTAACTAAAGTAAATGTGCATGCATACGGTGATCATACTTGTGTTCCATAAATTTTCTTAACTGACAGTAGAGATAAAAATAAAACTTTTAATCAATCGGAATAACGTACAGGAAAATGGGGGAAAATTCTAAAGCGTTTAGACAGGGTTTGTCTACTTTATTCATATCCGTTTAGTAGGTCAAAGTAAAAAGTAGTTCGCACAAGAAAATATGAGATCTGGGGGAAACGCCACCAGTTCCAGAAAGAAGTGGTATTGGTGGTATA